CCCCCCCCCCCCCCCCCCCCCCCCCCCCCAAGAAAATAACAACCACAACAACGAAAACAACATCATCAACATCATCATCATTATCATCATCATTCTCATCATTAACAACAACAACAACAACAACAACAATAACAAACAACAACAACAACAACAACAGCAACAAAACCCTGTGCGTCTTCAGTTGTTGCAGAATACCCAGAATGCACCTACTCAGGGAGTTAAAACCCGTAGTTCTGTTGTCATTGAGCTGATTCTCTTTACCTGGATTGGATTCATTTCATCGAAACTATCAAGATCAAATGTCATCCATCTAATTATCTTTTCCCCCGATGCAGGCGCGGCGAAGGAAATCAAGCTCACAACCGACATCTCTGAGACACAGCTAGACAAGATGTCATCCCCAGTCACCTCGCCCCGCCTCCGACATAAGCTCCACCCACCGCCGGCCACTCCCACTGGCAAGCCCCTCCCACCTACATCCCGCCTCCTACACTTGACTCCTCCCACTCTGCCCCACCCCTTTTTCCACCGGGATCTCCAGCATCAAGACACGGCAAGACATTCTTGGAGAGATTTCTTCTTCCCCGTCAAACCTCTCGATCACAGAGACAGACTGTTCAAGTTCGGATCCAGCCCCCAAAGTATTGACAATCTCAAACCTTCTGTTTGGGGACAAGCCACTGGATATTTGAACCCCAACCTCCTGTTCTCGCTAGACCCGTACAAAAGCCGTCACCTGACTTTCTGCCCCAACAGTCTCCTAGCAACGCAAAATCCTCCATCGTTTTTTCCGAGCAGCACGACGACAACAACATTCCCTACCCCACCTGGACAGAGCGCCACCTCTCTCAGTGCCCTGTCAGAGTTCGCGTCCACCTTCCAACCTCACATGACGTCACTGAGTCACGTGCTGACGTCGAACTACTTGTGTGCTCAGTGCAACAAGCCTTTCAGCACACCGCACGGTCTGGAGGTGCACGTGAGGCGCTCACACTCGGGGTCAAGACCATACGCCTGTGATGTACGTTGGCTTTTTTTATATTTAAAAAAAAAATGTTTGCTTTTTAAAAAAATGGTCGCTTTTAAGGACAAGAGGGCTAACCCAGATATCGGGGGTTTCCAGAAATCTTGACCTACACCAAAAGTGGGCATTACCCTACCTATAGGAGAAGTTTGGTTTCAATTGTGTGTACATTTGTTTGGTTATAGAAAAAACTCTGCTCGTCTTATAAAAAAAAAGTGAGCAAGAGGCAAAAACTTTACCTTCGATTTTCTCAAAACAGCGTTTTTCGGGATAGCCCCCTTGTGGTTAAAGGCGACCATATATTATGTCTGTTTATTGACTGGTCGTTTGTCTTTCTGTACAGCTGTATAATATATCAGTTTGCCTGAGTGTACATGAATATGCGTGTGTGTGTGTGTGTGTGTGTGTGTGTGTGTGTGTGTGTGTGTGTGTGTTTGTATGTGTGTGTGTATGTGTGTGTATGTATGTGTGTGTGTTTATGTGTGAGTGTGTGTGTGTGTGCGTGTGTTTACTTATGTCTGAGTACGTTAATGTATGTTTCTCTGTGTGTGTGTGTGTATGTGTGTGTATGTGTGT